AAAAAAATCAAGCTTTTAAAAATATTCTAAAGCAAATTTTTTATAGGTAACCTTTTTTTATTGGCATGCATGCAAAAATACATGAAGGCAATCAATAAAAAATAGTTAAAACAAAAAACTGATTCTTAAAGTACATCTGGTAGCCACTTTTTCTGATATTGTTTTTTATATAATAAAAAATATACTTGTTTAAAATTCTTACAGAAAAGCTTTATGCAGCTTTACTTTAGTATTTAATTTTTTTTTACTGGCACTGATTACCAAAAATTTTTCAAACAAACATTTGCATACAAAACTTAATACTATATTTTAAATATTGCTTAAAAATTGTTAAATACAAATTGAAAATTTCATTTAGTTTATGAATAATATATAAGACTATAAAATGCAATTTGAATTTCCACAACATTTTACTTTTCATAGCAAATAAAAATGATAAGACAACAATTTTTAGCAGTAATAAATATTTTTCATAATTATCTTATTACAACTTAACAAATCAAACAAAACTTAAACTTTAAACACTTTCTACAGCATTAAAAGATTATTTAACATTATGAAAAGATAGTAGAATTTTTAAAAAATATAAAAATTTTAATAATAATAATAATAACAACAATAATAAGATGTTATTTCGTTTAAAAGATAGTTGCTGTTTTGAGTCGACAATAATATGTAAAATCAGAAAATTTAAATTTAAATTACATTGAAAATACATAGTACACATTATACGCCATGAAATTAACACAACTCAACTAACATATTTTCATCTACCATAGCTTATATTTTATTAGTCTTAATAAAAATTGTTGTTAGCTTTAAAACATATTTTATGCATGTTTCTCCTATACAAATGTTTATTATAAAATTCAATTTTTTATATGAAGATTTTTGTAACTTTTATAAGTAAAATAGTAATAAAAATGAAAGTAATTTAAAAAAAAAAAATATTAAAAAAAAAAAAAAAACAAGATTAAAAAGACTAAAAATTTAATCAAGTTAAAAAACTTCAACCACAGGCAATTTTTTTTTCCACTTGATAAAAGTGTTTGTTTTTTATAAAGATTCATTCTTTATAATTCATTGATCTTTAAAAAAAAAACATTAGAAAAACTAAACTTTTACTCTTTTTTTTTTTGACAATTAAATTTAACATATTTATTGTTTTGTAAAAAACTTGTAAAAACACAGTGAAAACTATAAAACCTTCATAGAATTCTTTTTAAACAAAAATCTAACTTGTTATACACTTTTGTAAAGGCTTATTAAAATAATTTTCAAAATAATTATACTATAGTCATCACAAATTGGCTAAATAACAAAAATACTTTTAATAAATTAAAAAGTTCTATTAATTAAAATTTCAAAAATCTAATAAAAATGATTGCAAATAAATTATTTTATCAATTTAATAGTAATTAAACATTTTTACTAGAATGTTTAAAAATTCATATAAAAATTATTGCATTTTATAACATCATACTATTTTTTAATTCTAAAAGATTTCAGTTCAGCAAGAGTGCTGGACTTAGCTGACTGCAGGCCAGCAAAATTTTGCAACAACCAGAATTAATTTAGGTCATCATTTAACAGAAAAGTTTGAACTTCTTCAAAAAGGTATCTTACTAGCAAGCCATATAATTATATTATCCCAAAAAAACTTGTTTATTACTTTTTTTGCTTTAAGATCACACAGAATGTTGGAAATATCGCAGGCCTCACTTTAAGCTTTTTTATGTTAGACATTTTATATTTTTACCTGCATTAAAATGTTTTAATACAACTGTTATTTGTCATAAACTTATTTTTTCTTTCTTTATTAAATACTAAATTATTCAATGTGATGCAATGTGATGATTTTAGTTTCTCATCCTTAAATCATAAACAGAATGCTAGCCATAAAAGCGTTTGTATTGGATAAAAAAAAGCAGCAGTTTAAAGTTTTAGTTATGCCATTGATACAACATTAAAAAAAAAAAATTGAAACATGAATAAAAAATGTATTATATATAGTGTTTACAGACACATATATGAATCCATTACAGGCAGATATATGTATCCATTACAGGCACATATATGAGTCTGTTGGGATACAAAAGCATAATTGCAAAAGTGAGAATATTAATGTAAAATAACTATTCAGAAAAGAAAGAATGAATCTAATTGGACTCGCACAAACTTGAAAATGATCAGTTTCATAAAAAATTTATAATAAAGGATGTCAAGATTTGATGTCGTCATCAAAAATTAGGAGTAACCTTGATATCAATAAAAAGTTCCTTATTTTTATTCAACTAGTTTCTCCACGCAACAGCCTTGTTTGTCAAAGTTTGTGTTTCTTAATTACAGTTGAGAGAGCGTTGTAACCACAATTAAGCAGACTCCTTGATTTTAGTGGCCTTCTTGGCCTTGGGGAGATGAATCATAAAAAAAAAAAAAATTCAAAAATTGAGTTTTAAATTAAGAACAAATTTCAAAACAAATTTATGCATATATTAATAAACATAAAACCAAAAGACCATATAATAGCAACTTTAAATAAGAACAATGAACATTAATCTAAAAGTCGAGTTATTCCTAATTGATTTAATTAATCTTTTATTTCTATATTTATAAAGATTAGCTGAAGTCTGTGTACTTACAGCCAATTTTTACTATGATCCAATTTTTTTAAGCAATGTTAAGTCAAAAGATCAGGTGATTGATAACATTAATAGCTATTATTAAGTAAAATTCTGCAGCAAATTATAATTAAAAATTATAAGCAAGTTGTAAAAGTTTTCTATGCTATAAAATAAAATTTTGTTGCCCAAATTAAACTTTGCCTCTTAACTCAAAACTAAGAAACAAATAAAACCAATAGGCAAAAACTAAAGAAAATAGATTTAAAAAACATATCAGATAAATATGAAAGAGGTGACCTTATTCATAAATTATAAACATATTTGAAAATAAATCATCATAAATTACCAAAAAACTACAAGAGGTCACATTCAAAACTTGAAGTAATCAGATTAAAAATTTTACCAAGGCACCATTTTTTTACAATCCAGAATTAATTAGAGAATTAAGTAGTCAATGCTTAATCAAAAAATACTTCATAAATAAACTCAACAACACAACCTTGAATATTAAAACAACAATTATAGTTCATAATGTACTAGAAAATTTTAAAATAAAGTATTAAAAATTAAAACATTGTCTGATATGCAACTTAAATTTATTATAAATAAGTAGACTTTTTTTGTTGAAAATTTAACTTAAGTTTAACTGAACAGGTATTCCCAAAGCTCAGAAGTAAGAATTATGTTTGCCTATTATTATCGTAGCAACTTATTATTATCGTAGCAACTTATTATTATCGTAGCAACTTATTATTATCGTAGCAACTTATTATTATCGTAGCAACTTTAAATTTAATCCCTATGAGTTATAACTTTTTTGTTTTTAATAATTTCTTAAATTTTATTTTGATTTTTTGAATCATATATGATTTTGATACAAAAACAAATGTTAAAATGCTAAATAACAAATAAAAACATTAACTGCTAAATGAAGATTATAATAATTAAAGAGGCCTCAGCTGATACAAGAACACACCATACATAGGAACATGCATTTAAATAAAAAATGAAAGTAAATATTCACCAAAGTTATATATTTACAAATCTTTTTCAAATCACTCAATTTCTGAACATATCCTGAATTCCAGATAAGTCCCGAAAAAAATAAACCCTATATTTACAATCTTTTTTAAATTCCTATGCTATTTTATTTTTCATCTTTTATACTTTTTCATAACATTGAAGTTTTATTTTTCATTGTACTATTTTACTGACTTATCAAACATATTTTTCAAAATTGTGTTACTACCTAAATAAAATTTTTGAAACAAGACATAAATATAAAGACATGCTTATACACACATCCCTTCTATAATGTAAAAAGTAAGAGGGACTCTACATTATCTTTAGTCTCAATGAATATTACTAAGTGAAACAAAAATGCTGGTATTCTATTATACATGTTAATTTATATCTATGTTATTTAAAATCTTTAAAAAATAAATAGAAAAGCCTTGCATATAACCCTTTATATTATCACAAACATGGATAATCCCAGGGTGTGGTTATTTAAGCTCACAACCATGTGTAGTTGTTTATGATCACAAAATTATAAAAACTAATTCTGTACTAATTGATACCACTTTAAAGCAAAAAGAATAACACTTATATTTTTATACATATATGGTTGTTGTTGTGTTTTTTGTTGTTTTTTTTCTTCGTATTGTTGTTTCTTCTTCTTTTTCATTAATTTACAGTAGCTGCTTTGGTAAAAGAAAATCTGAGCTGAAGATATATATTAGAATATGTTTTAGAACTTTTAATTTTTAAATCTCTTTAAAAATAATTTTTAATTGTTTTTTAAAACAACTTTATATAAAATTTTGACTTTTTATTAATTGTTAATTTTAAACTTTTTAACAACAAATACTTCAAATATGCATATAAACAAGTGCTTTTCAAATTTAAAAAAAAAACTAAAACTGAAATTAAAAAAATATTTTTCAACCTTAACATGATATTAGAATATATAATGAAAGAATGCTTCTATAAAAATTTAGGAATTCTTTTTTTCTCAATTGAAACATTTCTAAAGTTTACTTAATGAAAAACAGAATTTTGTGTCACCCACACCTAAATATACTTGCATACACCTTAGGATAATAGAAACTGTGAATTTTACAATTTGATGACAACAAATGATAAATGTTGGTAATATAATTTTTAAATTTCTAATAATATATCTTACTATTGAATTGACTTGGTCAACTTGTTAAATTAGGCAATCATAAAAAATGTCTTATTTTAGCATGGCTGCTACTAAATTTATTAATTACTTGAACAATTTTTGTGCTCATGGAAATAAATTATAAAACTTATGCATTCAACCCTATCAGTTAAGGCTTACATTAAGATCTAGCATTCTTGAACACTAACCTAGTAATAGCAGTTTTAACTCTCTTCTAGAATCACGCTTGTGTTTCTTTAACTGTCTTTCGATTTCATCATTTATTCTTTTTTGCTCTTTGGCCTCTTCTGTCAGGCAGCAGTTTTCAAACATAGTGCTACAATTCTAAAATTTCTGCTAAACCACAATTTTAATAATAGTAGATTGTTTTCTAAAAAAATTAAATTCCAGCAATGCTGCACCTCTTTTTGTTTATAGCTAATATAAATAATCCAGATACAAAGTTCCTTGGTAAAATATATTTACTACATGAATATTGTCTATTTTCAGCAGTGTTTTATTGAAAAGAAATGAAAAGGCGCAACCAATATAACAGCTCCTAATGTGATTTTTGGAAGGCCATTTCGGAAAATTTACTTGCTTTCGGTGCAATACAATCGTGCGACAGGAGTTCCCAGCAAAATAAATTATATTTCATTATTGCTGAGTTTTCGGATTACATATGTTTTTTAGCACATGATCAATTTTATAAAACTTATCAATACATTTAAAATTTTATCACGTGTTTATAAATTTCATCTAATGTACCTTAAATGGAAAGCAAAACGTCATAGGCTCATACTCAGTCTTCAAATTTATAAATTGATATCGGTTAACGATATACGATAATATGTATCGTCGTCAATCAGAAATAATTTGAAGACCTAAAAACATTGTTTATTTCTTTTATTTCTGTTTTGCTCTGTTTTACAGATCGGTCGCAAGTAAAACTTACCCTGACGTTTTGCGAAACTTTGAAATCCTTGGTAAATAAAAAAAAGTGTGAACTTTTGTAAGCTGATTGGTCTAATTGCTTTTTTAATATTAAAATAATTAGACCAGATTTTTGCAAGTTGTGTTAAATTGACAATATATTAAATTCATCATTTGTAGCTTGAAAGTTGGTTTTTGATAACTTTTTGATGCTAAAAATATCTATTTATCTGAGTTAATGCGAAAACGCACGCTTAAAAAAGAATTTAAAAGATACTTTGTGTTAAAAACTTTTCTGCGCGGTTGATAAATGGTCTGCGCGGTTGAAAAATGGTCAGTTCTTGCTTCACGAACCCAGATGAAAATGTTACTAGAAGTGTATACTTTATTATTTACACATCTCCGTATTCTAGGGTCTTGCTTTTGTTTGCGTATCTATACAAAAGCAGTTCAGCAGGGTTTTATATTTGCTTGTAAGCGTTATGAAATTATGGCTTTAAATGGTTCACTTAAATTGATTATAAATTATATGTTATGTTTACGGTGTTTTTATATATGTTTTGTGATATTTATTGTAATAAGTAAAACAAATTTAATTTGTTTAGTTATACATTTCAAAACGTTACTTTTGTTATCAATATTTTATAAGATTTTTTATTGGTCATACATATGGATTTTTATATCTTTAAAATAAAACTACTTTTTTGTGTGTATTTAAAGTTTTTAGCATACCAGAAATTCCAGATCTTGTAAATAAATTTATTTTTAAGTAGATTATTGACTTTAAAGGCAGGCGTTATCTATAAGCAATCGCACACAATAGAATACATTGATTATAGTTTTTACATTTAGTTTATATGCTGATTCTAGTTTATAAGGTGGAATGCGTTGAACGCATTTTGAAAATATCCGTGATTTAATCCTCCGATTGAGAAATAAAAATAACCAAGAACTAATAAAATATCAACAAACTGTTTAATTTTCCAATGACTTAATAGACGGCGACGAAGATTATTGTTACGTGTCGTTCATATTGTTCTGTATAATATATTACAGATTCATATCTGCATTATATAAGACAAAGTAAATAATTAAAAAAAACAACTGGTAGAAATATTTTTTTAACCTTAGATTATATAAGCAGTAGCTATTCTAGGTTTTATATATATATATATATATATATATATATATATATATATATATATATATATATATTATATATATATATATATATATATATATATATATATATATATATATATATATATATATATATATATATATATATATATATATATATATATATATATATATATATATATAAGACCATTTAATTCATAAATACATGTTTCGGCTATATCATAGCCGTCCTCATTATATTAAAATGTTTAAATAAAATTAGTAAAATTAAGTTGAACTAATATAAACCTTATGAAAATACAATAAAAATGCAATCAAAAAATGTAACTAATGTTTTTAAAACGATAAAGGAACCAGTAATGTTAAAAGGAACTAGATTGAATATGTCATTTTTACATATTTTCTCTTGTTTATTAACAGCGGGTTTTTCCAAAACTGAAACTAGCATGATTAAATCTGTTAAAACAACTTTCATTTAAATGAAATTTTTTTATAAATGTGCGAGTTTTTATCCTTTTTAGAGAGAGAGAGAGAGACAGAGACAGAGAGACAGAGAGAGAGAGAGAGAGAGAGAGAGAGAGAGAGAGAGAGAGAGAGAGAGAGAGACAGACAGAGAGAGAGAGAGAGAGTAAAGGTGCCGAACACCATTTTTTATTTTATTTATTTTTTATTCATTTTTATTTTATTTATTTATTTCAGTGATCAAATACAAATACAATAATCCATTTATAATTTGATGAAGAGGTGCTTCTCCAGGCTAGGTGATACAGACACTACAGACAAAGCAGCAATTGTATCTATAAAGTTACTTTCTTATGTTGTTTTTGAAAGCCTTGATGGATTGAGCGTTCACTGCTTCTTGCGAAAGTGCATTCCATGGGGCAACAATTCTATTTGAAACAAAGTTATATCGCTCCTCACAGTTTTTTACCATCTGACGTTCTAGTTTATGGTTATGGCCTCTTAGAATATACTTATCTTTACTTTTTGAAAATTTTTGCGGGACAACAAAACTGACAAGCTCGAGTTTACGAGTGATTTTGAATTGCTCGATAAGATCTGCTCTTCGGTGTTCTTCAAGAGTTGTTAAACCGAGTCGTTGGAGTCGATCTTCATAGGACAGGTGTTTAATAGTCAATATTGTTTTTGTTGCTCGTTGTTGGACTTGGTTGAGAATGGAAATGCCTGATTTTAAATGCGGCGACCAGGTTTGTACAGCAAACTCAAGATGGGGGCGAATGTAAGTGGGATACAGAGTGCGCCTTAAATAAAAACTGCGACTGTGAAATATTTTTTTGAGTCGCCCTAGCATTCTATTTGCTACTGATGTGGCTGACTCAATTTGCTGTCTGACTTTAAGATCATTCGAGACCATCACACCAAGGTCTTTTTCCACTGCAGTTTTTTCGAGAGGACGATGGGTGCCGTCGACGTTAGAGATTGAGTATTTGTACGTCAACTAGTTACATCCGCACCCAACATGCATTAATTTGCATTTCTCATCGTTGAAATGCAATAGCCAAATGTGTGACCATTCCACTGCTCTGTCAACGTCATCTTGGAGAGTGATGCTGTTCGACTCCTTTTTAATTATCCCTATTATTTTGCTGTCGTTGGCAAACAGTTTCATATGATGAGTAATTCTGTCCGGCAGGTCGTTTACAAAGATTACGAATAGCAATGGGCCCAAGACCGAGCCTTGAGGCACTCCACTAGTGACTGCTTTCCATTCAGAAGTAATGCTGTTTATAACATTTAAGAATATTTGAATAATCGAGACAAACATAAACTTAGTTAAGACAGTTAAAACTTAACACATCAAGACCAAGACATCAAAAAGTCAAGATCAAGATTTTGAAAGTTATCAAACGACAAAGTTACTTGAGGAAGAGTTCACATCAAGTGAACTCCGATCAAGTCTTTGTTGAAATACATTAACTAGGTGACCTAATTAACAGTATGTATTGAACCTTCTAACATCGAGAGCAATCCTGTCCGTATTCTCTATGCTATTTTTCTAACACGACTTCTTCTATCTTTCACTCTAATAGATCTTCGTTCTTCCCAAACTCGCCTTTCTCTCCGTAGGTTCGTAAGAGCTGGTTATGACGCTCCTTTAGGAGCTGAACTTGTCTTTGCGGGCCTTGATAATGAAGCCTCTGTATGGAAATTAGCCGGAGGAGGATAAACCACAATAACAGATTTTGAAAGTTATCATAAGTCCAAGGTTAAGGATAAAGGTTCTTAGAATTTCAACATAATGATGCTTTTGTGAACATGTATATATTTACTATTAGACCTTTAGTTAATGTACTATTTGACAATACTATTAGACCTTCAGTTGATCAACTTCAGTTGATCAACATTTATACATATTACTCTATTATAAAACGTAAGTACATATTTATAATATTACTGTGTTATAGTATACTGTGTAGTGTACTGTTGCAATTTACAAAAGATTTCACACGGTAAAACAGTGTGATTTGAAAAGAATAGCACATATATAGCAGACATGCTAGGCCAGTAGCCACAGACAACTATCTCGGTGGGAAATAAGCTAGCGACTAGCTAGCTTTATATTGATTTTCAAGCCATTTTTTTTCTTTTTTTTTTCTTTTTCCTAATGCCTTTAACATCTTTAAAAGTTCAGTTTTTAGTTTTGAGTTTATTATAATCATGATAATAATTAAACTTTAGGCATTGCGATTATTTAGCAATGTGTCGCAAGCCACATATCGTAGCTTTGTAGCTAGCAACAAAATATTTACAAATCTATGGCTGATTGATAGCTACATATCAAAATTTTTTAGACAGCGATTTTATTCCGATATGACGCTAGCTACAATAGCCAGTGGGTCTTTAGCTTATCAATCTAGCTGCCCTCGTAGCCAAATCCATGTCTTTATCATTACAAATATTGATAGCTAGCGATTCTCGTGACCAAATTGCTGTCTATTGTTACGGTTATAGCTGGCTATTTGTTAGCCAATTTTCCACCGGGATCTATCACTTGATTTAACAATTTATATTTAGAAAATCTAACAAAGGATGGTATTCGTAAAGAAATAGAGTACACATCTTTCTAGGTACAAATCTTCTTAAAAACGGGAAATTGCAGTGATCAACGATTTATTATTAATTACTAATCCATATTTTGCTTTAATATTTTTTGTAAAGATCAATGAAGTACAAGACAGTAAAGTTCCAAGACCAAGACTCCAAGCTTCAAGACCAAGACAGTTGAATTATGAGTCTCACGACTTCTTAAGACCAAGACTTTATTCTTTAGACCTACATCTTTACATACAACCCTACTACTTTTTTAACCAAACTTTGACTTTATTGACCCACCATTTATTAAAAATAATCTTTGATTTTTGAGTCAATTTTTTTCCAACCAAATCTGGTCTTTTTAATTGAAACAAATTCTTTGATTAAGACAGTTTAACCTTTTGAATAAATTGCAGCAATAACACACATGTTTTACAAAATAATTAAACACATGAAAGATATTTTAACAAAAAAAGTTTACAAAATTTTGTTGATGATTGGTTGTTGGTGATTGGGCTAAGTGTAAC